GCCCGCCTGTTGCCGCCACGGCACCACGGCGGGTGCTCCGCGGGCTTCCGTAGTACCCTGGCGGGTGTGGCCGGGGCAAGAGCGGAGGCGGGCGGCGGAGTCGCGTGGTTAGAGGAAGTGGAGACCAAGGGCCGCCGCGCGTGCGGCTTCCCGGCGTTGCTGAAAGTCACGACGTGACCTGTGGTGCGCGACCCCGCGAGGGGAGGGGCGAAGGCCGGACGCAGCGGGACTACGCGCGTGCGCCTGCAAGCTCGACCTCCGGCGCTGCCATGGCTCCCAGTCCAGCAAAGGAAGTGCTTTTCTTACAAGGAGAAAAATAGGCTTTCCCCCCAACCTTTAACTTACCAAGAAATTATAATCAGGAAAAACATCATAGTTAAAAGGACGTTTTTATTAGCAGTAAAGTTTTTTAATTCATATAAGTCCATTTTTAGTATTAAATAGGAAAACATGCTCAACGGTCCAAGAGTTTCATTTATTAACACTTTATTTCAGTTTAGTCCCCTTAATAAATGCACTTGCTTGTTGTGCATTTATTGGGTGCCATGAATTACCAGTTATTTAAAAATAGGTAACTACTGGAAAATGAAAATTTATAGGATTTAATCATTAGAGCAGAGTAAAAAAGCAAATCAAGGAAAAGGATGTATTTAGAAATCTTTAGGGGATTTTACAGAAATCATACAAGGCAACTTTTTGTCAAGTATCAAAATTTAGCAGTTTTGTTTAATTGAAATGTTACTGCAGTTGTTAAAATCTCCTTAGCTTATAAAAAAAAAATCAGAAAACATTGGATTTAACTGGCTTTTACAAATGTCCTAATACGTCCCAAGCTATACAATATTTTAAGTAGAAAAACACTAATTGAAAAAATAGTTTGATACACTTTCTGTGGTTTATGTACATTGGGTTATGTACATTTACTAACTGGGCTCTTAGAGGAATTGACTAGAAGTTTAGCACACTGTACTGTAAAACAAAAGCGAGAGCTACTCACCTTTCACAAAACACTCTGCATGCAATATTCCAAATCAAGGGTATTAGTGGTTAATTGTTTGCCACAAAATGTCACAGAAAAATTGTTCATTGGGTTGTTTTTCAGTTTGCAGCTGCTCTCTGGCATCGGAAATTAGAATCCCCCAGAAATAAAAGCTGCAGTGCAGTTCATCAGTGGTTAGTTTAGGCCGATCCTCCCCTCCCCATTGTTCTTTCATGCTCCCGACGCCCCTACCCCCCCGAAGTGGCTCTGTATTATTAAAAACGTTAAAACTAACTGGGATTTATGCTTCAGATCAGGGCATCATTTGAGTAATTTCAAATGATGTACAACTCTTCATGAAAGAAAGATGTTTTGTGGTCATAATTACTTCAAAAGTAATTGTATTCAAATAACCTGACATGCCATGCCTTAGCAATTACAAACCATGATTTTGACCATGGAAATGCATAAGGCAGGCAAATGTGAAACGCTAAGAGACGTGAACAGCTGTTCTTCTGTTTCATTTTAGAGTGCTACAAAAGTCGGGTCATGACTTTTATTATTTCAGTTAACACAGCCAGCCCATGGTACAGCCTACTGAGTCGTAAAGTACAAATCCAAGCAAGGTAATACCTTTACTAAGTCACAAGGCTTTGGCAAGTTAGTACAGTACTTTTTAATACAGTAAAGTCATATTTGTGTTGGAGTCATATGTTACTTGACTGATAAAATTAAGTACCAAATTCAAACACTGGATTTTGATGGTGGCTTACAGCAGAGCAAGTTACTTTATACAAATGAACATCTTTTAAAACTGATTTCTCCTTTTAAAGTGAGTTCCTTCGTGCAAGCTGTCAAAAATTACAGCAGGGCAATCATGTATGTAAGAGGTGGCTCTGCTTTGTTCTGGGGTTGGTCCGAAGCCAGGTAGAGTTCCAACGTGTGAAAAGCTTTAAAATTCTACCTTAAAGAGGTCCAATGTCAATATTAATTTCCAAGTACTTTAAAAAAAATTGTTAAATTTCCATGTAAGTACTGGAACCGTCAAACTTACACAATCATTTCAAACACTAATTTCATACGATCCCTTTTATTTAGAAGCCCTGCATCTCTTTGTTTTCACCAAAACAAAGCCTCATTTCAGCTTATTAAAAGAACTCTACCTAAAATATAGTTGTGTTTTTAAATAACAAATAAATATGTTGCCAGCATGGAAGGACCTGGGGGACCCGATGTACACCAACTCTCACTGTCATTTCTCAACAAATGCTGCAGCTGCCATTGGTGTCCTCATGCTTCCTCTTGCTGAAGCTGTCAATTCTTCAATCTCAGCATTTAATTTATGTATTACCCATTCCATTGCTTCTCTGCCCTTAAAAAAAATCCAATACATTTTGTTACCAAGAGCAAAGGCACAACATCAAATAAATGACACACAGGCAGTAACAAGGGACACTACGAGTCTAAGGCTTGTTTTTGTCTTTGCCTTTTTTTTTTTTTCCTAATGTTATTTACCAAACAACAAATGTCTTGAGCAACTAGCTTGATCCATAAACTGATTTTTATTTTATATACAGAAGATGCTCTCAAAAAATTCTATAATTAGGGCTAGCAAATGGCCTGTGGTTACGACGACTGGATCCTCCATGGCTGGGACTGAGTCCTGGAACTGGTGGCTTGAAAAATACATTGGGTGCACATGTGTGCGTGCCCAACATCCTGAGAAAAGAATGGAGAAGAGGGATTGCAGTGTAGCCGTCCCCCCAGGGGGGCACTTCCTCACTTTCCTTCTGTCTTTCTCTCTCTCCTCATTGAACATACATGCTCTACACCAAACTTAAAAAAAAAGGGCAGGAAAAAAAAATTAACGACAGGATGTTTTATTTATCTCATGATTAGAGTAGTCCCTATTTTGGAGGTAAGGAGGTCAAATTTCTTTGTATGCTACATTTTAAGCCAGAATGATGTGAAAGGCTTTGCAGGATCTGGTCCCCATGCCCTCCTCACACGCTCTCTCCTGCGGCTCTGTGCAGTTCCCTGCAGAATGGGAAGAGGAGCAGCTTGTGCCTTCTGCCTCAGGGCCTTGGCACATGCGGTGTGTCTACTCCAAACGCTCTTGGTGTTGCTACTGCAAACGCTCTGCCTGGCACAGCCCTCCCCATCTGGCAGCTGGTAGGAACCTCAGTTACTGAATGGTCACAGCCTTCTCACACCTTCCCGTGCTTTCCCTTTCCGAATGACATGCTTCCTCTTCCCGAGTTCCACAAAGGCAGTGCTGTGTTTTTCCCTGCCGAAAGGCTACTCCTGCCCCCTGCCTGCACAGAGAGGTCATCGGTGGGCATCGCTGACTGCTAACGGCTGTATAAGCACACGTAAGGAACGGCTCGTAGGCATCTCTCCCAATGTAGTGCGTGTTAAATCACGCATTCTCAGTGGAAGGTGATTCTCAATGGAGAAAAATTGGTTTTGGGGGTAGTGAGGAGAAAAACCTCTCTTCTGAATAAAGTACACATATTATCTGTGGCAATAAATCATTTCATAGGGGTGGCAGTGAGGAAATGGATTGGGGGAAAGATGATGAAGAAAGGTTGAGAAATGGTTGCTTGAAACAATGACACACAACCTCAGGTCAAAGAGCACTCCCTGCGTGCTGGGCCTGGGCCACACACCATCTCACCGATCGTACATAGGCCTGAGTGGGCGCTCTCCTCTCCCAGGGGAAACTGAGGCTCAGAAAGGCTGGCTGCCCAGGGTGAAAGGCTGTGGAGCTGGAGCGCGAGCTCCGGTGGGCTGGGCTCCGCGGCTTGTGCTTGGCGGCTCCCGATGGCCAAGGACTGAGGGGCAGCCCACGAGGACATGCACACATCCAGCCCAGAGCTCTCGTGGGAAATGGCCAGGGAATGATCAACACGGAGGCACACCCACTCACCTTGTTCGCATTTGAAGATATTGTGCTTGCCATGAGCCCTTCGAGGTAACTGCTGAGGCTCACCCCCTTCACAGTGATGATGGCTTCCTGAGTTAGAACAGTCCTAGGTAAACACACAGCTCTTCAGGTGACGTGATTTCATTAAGAAGTGACAAGTATAGAAAAAGAAGAAGAAAAACGAAAACACCCTGTAACGTAAGTTTGTTAAAATTCTTTCTACTCACTTTTCGGGGTCCTGAGGATGTGGTTTGTATATAAGTCTCTCATCTACTGAAACCATGTTTGTAAATGAAATCTATAAAACGAAAAAATAAAGTGAAATCGTTTTGGAAATGGAGATTTTAAAAAACGCCCAAAATGAATACAGAAGCCAGAATCCTACTAGCTAAACACATAAAGCAACAAAAAAATAAAACCGCTTTGCCACTGCGGTGCCTTCACTTTCAGGCTTCTCTGCCTACTGCTGTTGAAACACTGCATGTGGAAAAAGCACGAAGCTGTGCACCTGATCCCCCATTCCCGCTCCCGTGTGCAGCCCTAGGAGTCGACGGGCTTAGCTAAGGAGGCCAGAACCAAGGCCAGAACCAAGGCCAGACGCTGCCTCCTGGGCACGCTGACCTGCCTGTGCTGCAGAACGTGCTGCGTCTCCATACCCACTGCTGTGAGATGAGAGCATACGTCAGGCGGTTCCAAGCTAAAGCCGAAGGGAGCCGGAACTCACATTCGTGGACTTCAGTTCCATCGTTCTCTCTACGGGGTCAACCACAGAGTGTTCCTGCACGTACGTCTTGGTTCTCGCTGCTCCGATGAGCTAAGAAAACAGGGAGAGGTGGTAATCAAGGGAGGAGGGCTTCTTACCATTTGAAGGTAAAAATGTGTTACGAGGATCTTGAACGAGAAATCTGTTTTGCAAAATCCAGAAGGAAACAAAGGTCAGACGGGTCTACTCAAATTGGCAGAGCCCCACGGAGGGATGAGGAGGGACTGCCAGAGGCAATCAGAAACCAGCCCACAGAGCGCGGCAGGAATAGAGCCACGACGCCGAGACTGCCAGGGCAGGACGACGGAGCACTGCGGCTGAAATATACACATCTGAAGCTCTGGGACACACAACATCCAGGAAAAGGAGCGCTCAGACTGTCAATATGTCCCGAGAGCGGTCCTGGGGACAGGGGTGCCTGGGCTTTGCTCCAGACAAAAGAACAGCCGCCACTTGGAGGAGGAGCACGCGCCAGCACGCAGTGTCACTTTCTATGCTGTGCTCTGGAGCACGTCCCTGATCTTACTCACTCCTGTGTCCCCGCTATCTACTGCTGTGATTTATATAAAAAGGCAATCAGTACATTCTTGCTGGAAAGACTGTAGGAGTGGACCTGCTTTCTCTAGGGATACTCTTCTACAGAAACCCGCATCCACTTGTCGCACTAGACTCTCCTTACACTCTGATAAACTGGCATTTTTACTTTCTTTCCAGTTAAATCAGCTCACTGAGGCCTGCCTGTCTGTAACTGAACAGAACCATTCTGGACCTTGGAATATACTTGGCAACAGCAAGTCTAGGAACACACTCCTCACATGCTGTGCACGCCCACCACTGACCACAGGGGTTGTCCCCAACAATCACGACCGGACCACCACTCCCAGACCTGACTATTGGCCTCACGTCGGCGGCAAACACAGGAGAAGCAGAACATAACTCCATTTAGATTACGGAGCATTAGTCGGCTTCCTTCAGAGGTTTTCTCGGGTGCCTTCTGAAGACTGTAATAATATTTCCAATTCATTATACACTCATAACTCAAGTTTATTATAATACAATTTGAACTGATGCAAAAATGACATTCAGAATCGGCTCCCACAACCTACTTGAAATTATAATGTGGCTTAGAACACTGCTCCGCAGCAGCCACTTCCCGGGAAGAAGGCACTTACAGACTTCACGATGGAGGGCAGTCCCCACTCGGTGCTGAGCAGCCGATGGCTGTGCAACTTTCCAGAGGGGTCGATGTATCTGTCCAACACGTCAATTCCAACCACACTGGGGTTCATAGGATTTGGGTACTTCTGCATTGCAGCTGTTGTAACTGTCTCCCATGGGTGGCTGACAACATGAACCAAAATCAAGCATTTAGACATACGCAAAATGATTAAACAGAGTTTATAACCCACCAAATCATTCTTTACAATGGAAGTTCAATTAGTTTATCTAGGGAGAATCACTTTCTGAAACAATGGATGATAATTTAGGGAGAACAGATCTAGTTTTTAAAAAAGAAATGTTGACAGCGTGCGTACACTTGCTGGAGAAAGACAGAGACAAGGGGAAAAGGAGGGCTGAGGAACCTCCCCCTGCCGGCCACGGGGAGTCACATCACGATCTCTCATGCTCCATTTCTCCCTCCTTCTCAGGATTAGGCATGCATGCACACATGCCTGGCATGTTTCCCTTTTAAGAGAGATTCTTGCTGTATGGCGCATGTGCTTGACGGAGAGACAGAAATCAAGAAATACCACCCAGAGGGGGTGACCATACTGCAATCCCTTCTCCTCCATTTCCTTCTTGTGATTTTGGGCATGCATGCACCTGCACCCAGCATGAGTTTCAAACTGCCAATCCCAAGACTCGAACTACAGTTGGCCACGTGGGAGTCCAGTGATGTAACCATTATGCCACCTGCTGGCCCCAACCTGGCATGTTTTTCAAGCTACCAAGCTCCAGGGCTAGAACTGTAGTCACCCAGGTGGGATCCAGCTGCCTTAACCACCAGGCTACTGGCTTGCCCCAATCTATATTTTTTCTTGTCTACACTTTTAAGGTGAATAGACTTTGATATTTTTCCAGAATCAGGCTAAATAATGTAATCTAATTAATGTATTCCTAAGATCAAACAGGATCTTGTCTTTGAAGATCAAAATAGCCTATAGAACATTACAGGACCATTTCTTAAATAATCCTTATTTATCATTATCTATATTCATATGTAAATTCTGTTTCTGGGAAGAACCACTAAGTCATAAAAATATATTTAAAAATTATGTTTTATTAAAACAAGCACCCGCAACTGTTCCTGTGCTATTCACTCCTCTCTCTGACCAACTCTATGAGGTTATAAAGGAACAAGTAAAGAACTTACAGGTACTAAAAAAAAAAATCAAAGCATTATTCACTTTTTAAAAAAAGAATTATTTAACTTTATTATTATTTTAAAATTTCCTATAGGGCACGTGTGCTCAAAGAGAAAGAGAGAGAGAGAGAGAGAGAGAGAGGGAGAGGGGGAGAGGGAGAGAGGGAGGGAGGGAGGGAGGGAGGGAGGGAGGAGGTAAGTTAGAAAGCTGCCAGGGGGCCTGGGACTCAAACCACAGTTGTCTATGAGAGTCCAGTGCCTTAACCACCACATCACCTGCTGGCCTTACTGACTTAATTAAATTGTTTCTCTATATGAATGTAATAAATAACAGCACCCCTTATCGTCAATCATAATCCATTACTTTTCTCAAAGGAGTAGTTCCGATTTCTGTTTTGAAAAGGTCTCTCAAGGGGCTGGCAGATGGTGTGGTTACTGAGGCACTGGACTTCCACATGGCCAACCACGGTTCAAGACCTGCACCTGCTGGCTTGCTTTCTCACTTTCCCTCTGGTCAAATTAAAAATAAATAAATAAACAAATAAATAAATAAAATTAGGGACCAGCAGTTGGTGTAATGACTATGTTGCTGGACTCCCGCATAGTTGACTGCGGTCTGAGTCCCGGACCTGGTGGCTTAAATCCACGTTGGGCATGTGCATGTGTGCCCAAGATACCGAGGGGAGAATGGAGAAGGGACTGTGGCATGGCCATCCTCCCTGGTGAGGTGATTTCATGCTTTCTGTCTCTCTGTCTCTGTCTGTCTTTCTGGTGAGCGCACACGCCCTATAGCAAAAACCTCTCCTAAATAAATAAATTAAATAATTCTTAGAGAAATAGAAGGGTCAATCAGTACAGTAAGAGATTCTGAAAGCACTCCTAAAATGCTATTTTCAAATAGTCTCTTGTCCTGTAGTAAACATTTGTGTATTACCTAGGGCTGGAGCAGTAACAAGATCCCACCATTGGAGAATGTGCGGCATCTTTATGTTCTTGAAAAAGTACACGCACTTGGGTGATTCAAAATGTGGTGTACAATTGTTCACGTCACAACCTCCATGAATAAGATGGCTGTATAAAGTACACCCTTTACCAAAACACTCCTTATTAACTCCAATCAGTATCAAAGGTGGTGCAGTCTACCTGCACGCGAGTCACCCTTCTCAACTGTATCTGTGTTCTCACTTTCGTTTAAAGAAAGAAGGCAAAATCTGGAGACAAAGACTGATAAACCAAATAAGCATCAGTTTTTATTTTTCTAAAAGCAAAACAAGCAATCTATTTGGACTTTCTGGAGAACTCGGACTGACAACTGCGTCTTGTGGACAGGGACAGATCGGTCCCATTCATTCCCACAACCCTGTGCCATCATTCCTCATGATTTCATTTCTCCACAATACAGTCTAAATGAATCTCATTCTGCTTTTAATCTCAAGCCTTATTCAACAATCAGTGCAGGTATGTGGGCTGGGCTGCCCCGTAAATCTAAGCAGTTCCTCCAACAGAAGTGATACAGGCCAAGCACTCTGATTGTTACCAAGGCAACTATCTAAAATGAAAATCAGATGGACTCTTTGCCTCTCTTTATCTGGTCGTATACTATGGTTAGCTGGCTTGCATGTGCTTCTCTCTTCTCCCTACCCTCTTTGAAAAATTAATAATCATATGGCCCCAGGGTGGTTTTGCATTATTTGTAATTTAGTTCATCTCTCCTGTCGGAGCCCACTTGGAAGCATCACTGCTAATTTAGCTGCTTTATGAACAACTCAGGCCCCGAAAGGACACATGCTACAATGAACAGTTTTCCAGCAATCACCTTCACGTATTAATGCAATTACGTGAGAAAGACCTCACCCTGAAAGGCAATCAGAGGCAGCGCTGAAGTGGCGCCAGAGAACCTGGCTGCAGCTTACTGCACTGCCCAATTTCTTCCCCTATAAAATGAGGTGGGGACAGTTACCTCCAAAGGCGGCAGTGCCGTCCTGTTTACAGAGATGTGACTCTTCCACAGGACGTGGTGGGCACCCGTGTATGTGGAAGGCACCGGTGAATGGCGCTGTTGCCTGTGTGCTAGGCCCCAGAAGGCAGCGTGGGCAAGCAAGGGAGGGCGAGGCACAGAATGAAGACTGAGATGCCCTGTTACCGCGTAACTTTGTGAAAACGGGGAAATGAGGAGACGGTGGGCCCTGTGAGGGGAGAGTCTAACTTCCATTTGAGACGCGCTGCTTGAACAGCCGGTGGGGCAGGTGATGTCTGCGCACCTGAAAACACCGAGTTGGAGTTAAGGGCTGGAGCTCAAGGTACGGATTTGGGCACTGCGGAGAGCGGCACTCTGAGAAAGCAGGGGGGGGGACGGGACGGGACGGGGCAGGACCAGGACCTGTAGGCGCCTGCATGTGCTTTGCGAGCCACTGTAGCGATGGCTACTGAGAGAGCAATCGCGTCGGAAAGCGCTACCTGCCTGCTGTTACCAGTTTCGAGGCCAAAGGAAGCTCCATGTGCTCATTGGATTCTACCCCAAAAAGGTCAGAGCAATTACATGGCGCCACATCTGCAGGGAGTAACATCCCCAACGACTGGCTTTGCACCCTGTTTCCTCCTCCCACTCCCTTTGCACCCATTCCCTCTGCCCCCACTTCCTGCTCTTTACCTAAAAGAATAAACCTGAGGCCGGTTCCTGGTCACAGCTTCTCCGTCAGAGAAGCTGGGCCCACCCGATCCTGGCTTTTCTATACTCGTGGGTCTGTGTGTGTTTGGTATTGTGTCTACTTCTAGTCCACAGCCTTCCCCACTCAGAGAGACGTGTTCAGCCCAGCAGGTCCCGGCAGGACACCATAAATACGTGTGAATCAGCTGGGACCTTGACCCGACAGCCAGACCCAGACCACGTGGGAAGAAAGCCCAGATCAGGGCTTGTCTTCCCAGACTATGTACACAACGTATTTGATAAACGTTTATCTTCTAGGAGATCCCCGCGTTTTCATCAAAACACAAAGCGGTCTGTGACATAAGAGAGAAAAAGATTAAGATCACGGATGAAATGCAAGACAGAAAGGCCTACAACAGAATACATTTACATTGGAAGGGGAAGTGAAGGGCTGTAGAAGAAAATGGCAAGATGAGTAAAGCTGGGAGTAGGGACCAGCCCAGGAGAAGCGTGCTTGGGAAGACGGGGAGGAGATGGTCTTAACGAGACTCGAGACTCGGTGGGAAGAACTTCTAAAACATTCACATCCGGAAGGAGACGGAAATGAAGCATTCCAGGGATTCAAATGCACTGTTGAAGGAAGTCACTGGGTTAAAGAGCATCAGAAAACTTACCTGTTCAGGGCCTTTCTTTCCCCAGAAAGATTAAATATCACACACAAAACCCTTAACTTCCCTCTGACTGTAATACTTTCCAGAAAAAAGTAGACCTTTGGATGTGTCTGACTCACTGAGCTTGTAAAAATGTCAACAACCTCTTTTTAACTTGCCCTTAGAAACACTTTTAAAAACTCAAATAGCTAAACTAAAACATACTACAAAGCTGTAACAATTAAAACAGTGTGGCAGCAACAGCAAGATCAGAGACTAGGGCAGAGAGCTTAGCAATGGACTCAAATACAAAATCTCATGTGGACTATGACAAAGACAGCTTTTCCAATAAACAGACTAATTAGTCTATAAAGAGTGCTGGGATAATGGCTTAAGCAGTTAGGGAAAATATATACAATACGGTTGCTCACTTTCATGATTCCTTTGTATATGGAATCATGGAACTGGAAGAGAATGGAACTTCCCAATATCCAACTGGCTTACGGCCTCTCATTTTCCCTCATTTCACGCTAACCACGAACATGTTACTTAAAGAGCCCGCCACAGTCAGTCCTCTTCCATCTCTCAGATGAAAACTGGTACCCCAAGGTCACAAGCTTCTTGGGAACAGAGCTAGGCCTTGGATTCCAAATCCCAGGCTGCTCTTCCTGGGCCGACGAGCTGTGGCAAAGTTTGGCATCCTGGTGGCTCGGCCCTGCCCAGAGTCACCTTCGGAGACAAACACCCGCCGGGCGCCGAGACCAGAGAAGAGTGCACCTGCCCCGTGGGGCCCGGGGCTCCCGCAGGCGTGGGCGGGCGGCGGGTGTTAGGCCGGGAGCTGTCAAGGACCTCGTGCTCCGCGACGCCCCCGACCGAGGTCGCCTGGAGCAGACCGGAAGTGGCCGTCTCAGGCCACCATCCGTCCGAGGGCCTGGAGGCCCGTTGCCGCCTCCCTCCATGGCCGGCGCCCTGGGGTCCTGACCTTGAGCCCCCGCTCCACCCCGGGACGTTTGGTCAGGCCCAGCCGCTCCTCCAGGCCGGACGCCTGGAAGCATCCCGAGGGGCGCCTAGGCCTCGCGTCACTCCAGGCCCGAGTTGCCCGCATGCTCCCCCCGAAGTTGCCCCCGCGTCCCCAACTCACTCGAAGACGTGCTCCGAGGTCCAGATCTTCATGGTGCCCGCGGCCCGCGCGAGTCCCGCCGCGCCCGCGGACAAGGAGG